TCAAATTGTATTATTTCAAAAATAAGCACTAGTAAGACCCACATAAAAACGAAAGCAAAGAACATGAAAGGACATGGACAAGGACAACCCCATGGTCATGCCTAAGGCTGAGGCTAAGCTTTGCATGTAGTAAAAAGACAAATATATATATATATATATATGCATGCATGCCTGCCTACCTACCTACCCTAACATATATATATATATATGTATGTATGTATATATGTGTGTTCAATATTTCGTGTTTGGTGATTGGGAAAACTGCCGTCCTGTTTCCATTTGGTTTCATACTATTCTCACACTTTTTCTCCAAATCCATTCAATTAACCGAGCAAATTCGGTTTGAATACAAATACTACATATTTTATATTTGTTTGGTTCGGTTCGATTTCGATTTTTTATATTTTTTTCGGTTCAGTTAACCGAACCAAATATATTTATATATTTATGTTATTATATTTTAAAATTTATATTAATAATTATATTCGATTCGATTTTGGTTCGGTTACGGTTCAGTTTCAGTTCGGATATTTGAAATATTTGCAAATATTTTGATTTAATTAGAATTTTAATTATTTTTTAATATATTATTTTTTAATTTCGGTTCGGTTCGAATTATTTGCAAATATTGCAAATATGTTTCGATCAACCGAAATTTTTTGTTCGAATACGATTCATGATTTCGGATATTTGTTCGGTTCGGTTCAGATATCAAATACCTGCATATTTGCAAATATCCGAACCCTGACCACCCTTACTCTTATTATTATTATTATTATTATTGTCTTCATTAATTATTAGTGTCCGTTGATGAATTTGGAAAATAAATGATGATTTGCAGCCGAAAGAAAGAATTAAAATAGGGCCCACCGATTACTATCGAAAATGTTTTTCAACAATAATAAATATTAATTTCGATTCAAAATTGGTGGATAATTCGGCTTGGCTTGTGTATTAATTAAATATTTAAATAATTGGTAATAAGAAAAGAAAAAGCGAACGAATGGCAGCATCGTAGTTTCTTTTTCCGGGTGAGTCCCAAAGAAACATATTTTGGACTTATTCAGACATCTCCCTATTTTTCTTTCTTCTATTATTATTATTATTATTATTATTATTATTATTATTAAGTATTTCTTTTTCTTCACTCCTCTAGATAGAATAGAAATATATATATATATATTAAAAAAAAATTTCTTGATCTCAAATTAATTAACATTTTTTTTAGTATGTCTCGTATTACTTGACATATTTTTATTTTAAGTAAATTATGCCTATTTAAAATATATTTAATAAATATAAATTAATTTAATTAATATAGTGAGTATGTATAACTTAATTATAATGAAATCCCAAGTTGATTGATGCCTTTCCAATCCACTTTAACCCTTAGTTTGTGTGTTTGGATTTGTATTTCAATTTTTTTATTTGAATTTATTAACTAATATTTTAATATTATATTTTTCAATAGAAAATAATATACTCCCTCCGTTCCGGAGCAAGGGTGGTATTTACTTTTTGCGCGTAGATTTTTTAATATTAATATTATATTGGATTGTAGTAAAAAAGACAAAAAAATACCCTTATTAGTATGGTGTAATATAAAAGTAACGGCATTTGTATAATATATTGTAAATTAAAAGGATATTTATTATGTGAAGTAGATAGTACAATTACTAAATTAAGAAATTGTAACCTTGTTTTAAGATGGACGAAAATAAAAAATAGTAACATTTTGTATTCGACATTGAATCTCAACCCTCAAAAGGTATGAAAGGGTAGCTCAATCATTTAACTACATTTTTTTCTATATTTAATTACTACCATAAGCTTATCATTTTTCATTAATTTTGTAATAATACAAAAATAAAAATAAGTAAACTAAATAGAAAATATATATATATATATATATAGGTAATTATTACTCACTCAAAGGTGCTTTTCATTATTTACTATGATAGCAGTAATCGTGGATATTTATTATGATGTACAATACCATAAATCTTTCTTTTCTATCAGTCATCTCTTCTATATTTGTCCATATTGTTATTAAACTGTCACTATTATTTTTGTGTCGGCTTCTTTTCTTCTTTTTTTTTTTTTAATATTTTTTAACAATAATTGGTTCCCGATAAAACGTAAATTATAAATTAAATAAGATAAATAAATAATTATTTTTTAAACTCGTTGCCTCTCAAATATTCTACAATATTTTTGTTTTTATCTGTTTCAAATACTTTACAATATTTTTGAAATAAAAAATAATTAAATATATTTAATTCACACGATATTTTTCTTATTATGTCACCCAAATAAAAATAAATAAATATATATTTCTCACTTTCATCGAATCACTTAATTTTCAAATTATTCTACTTAATACTATACGTTTAAATTCTTGTGTCGAAATCATATATTACACTATGTTTGGAACGGAGAAAATATTATCTTTATAAATATATGATTTTTTTTTAATATAATTATTACTATGCTGAATTTTATAATTCTATCACATATAGTATGACAATACATGCAAATTGTCCACATAATTAATGGTGAAGCAAAAAATTTTATTGGCAAGTGCTGGAATTTTTTATTTTTTTTTAGAAATATATAGTAGTATATATTTTTAAAATATATATATACAAGCAATTAAATTTTTAGTTTGTCTTTCCCGTGTAATTTTTTTTTCAATACAAAAAATAATCATATGTTTAAATAATTATAATTGGACAATATTTGAATTTTAAGAATTATACATAGGTAAACTATTTTTTTTTAGTCCCGTAACTGGACCTTTTATCATTTTAGTCCTGTAAGTGGAGCCTGTCGCAAAGTAGTTCCATAAGTGAAAAATTTTCGTTGTTTTAGTTCTCCGGTGCCGGAGACGTCCGCGTGGCTCGCCGGAGATGACGTGTCCCGCCAGGTCAGCGACACCTGGTGGACACGTGGATTTATTTTTTTTCATATTTTTTTATTTTTTTTAATTGTACCAAATAAAAAAATACAAATAGAATTTTAAAAAATTTAAAAAAATAAAAATAAAATAAAAAATCAACGTGTCCACCAGGTCAGCAACACTTGGCGGACACGGCATCTCCGGTGCCGGAGGACTAAAACAGCGAAAAATTTTCACTTATGGGACTAGTTTGCGACAAGCTCCATTTACGAAACTAAAATAATAAAGGGGTCCAATTATGAGATTAAAAAAAAATAGTTTACCTTTATACATATATATATATATAATACTACTACATCTGTCATGTTATTTTGCCTCATTAGTTTTTACTCAATTTTTAATAGGATAATTTTTTTATAGTTTTTTATTTTCTTTTTCTAATCATTTTTTTTCCAAAAATTTTATTATCCAACTTTAAGGATTTTTTTTTTTTTTAAATACATTATTTATCTTCACAAAAATTTGCATTCAAACTACTATTAAAAAAATATCACTAGTGAAGCGTGCCATATTTTATATTGAGTATATTTTATGAATACATAAAAAAGGTATAAAATATAAAATTTAATAAAAAAATGACGTTTCAAATTTATTAAAAAAATCTAGTTAATTTTTTTTAAAAAAATTAAAATATTAGCAATTTTTAAATCAATACATTTCAAAGCGATATAATTTTTTAAGATATAAGATGTATTGTATTTCTATAATAATTTAACATACAAAAATAAATTATGTTTAAATAGAAAATAAAAATTAAATTTGAAATTTAATAATAAAGAAATAAATTATTTGAACTAAAATTGGAATCAAAATTTATTTATTGTCAAATTAAATTGGTTAGCACAGAAATTGAGAAAAAAATAAATAAATAAATAAGAAATTAGTACAATAAATTGGTGTTTTTGAGACAAAACTGGCCAAATTAAAATTTAAAATATGGATTTTGGACGTATTATTTTAATAAATTGAAAATAGCAATTTTAAATAGTAACAAAAGTTGGCATCAATAGATCAATTTTAGACTCTAGTGGATATTATTTTAGAGTGAGTGTGATTTTACAAAATTTTGTCAATTTTTTTTTGTATTTTTAAAATTACGCTCAAATATTTTTATAATTTCATAAATCTCTGTGTTTTTTAGTCATTTTTGTGTATGAACCAAACTGCAAATGAGTTTTAAAATTTCAATTTCTAAAAATTACAAATACACTTACTCTTCTTGTATTTGACTTCAAATAACAGCAAATATACTAAAAAATGGTTGTTTTTCATCGGTAATGGATGATATGGTATACGGGGATGGACTCGTGACATTGTGATCTTGATGCTGCTAAGTCTTGCCTAAGTTTGGCGGGGGATTTAATTTGGGTTTTGTCTTAATAAGAATAATAATAATAATTTAGGAAATCCGAATACTCCCAATTAATTATTATGAGTGAGATGAGATAAGATGCAGAACAAGCGATTGGGCAATTAGGTTAAGTTGGTAGCTAAATCCAGTTATTGTGTTAGTTTGAATGTATAAAATCAGGTGGTGGTAAAAAATGCAGAGAGGTGGCTGTGGCTGTGACAGAATTAAATGGGAGGGAATTAGAAATGACAAGTTAGAAAGAATTGATGTTGGAGAGGGTAAAAAACATTCATTAAAGGGAAGCCTGTAAAAAGGCAAAGGCAAAGGCAAAGGCAAAGGCAAGAAAAAAACATAAAGAAAGAAAAAAGCAAAAGCAAAAAGTAAAAGTAGAAAGAAGCAGGAAGGAAATTGAAAGCAACTCAACATTTCAGATTTCCATTTCCTGTCTGAGGCTGAGGCTGAGGCTGAGGCTGAGAGAGGAGAGGTGGCATGGCATGGCATGGCATGTAATACTAATACTAATACTAATACTAAATTATTGAGTAAGTAGAATAGGGTACCTACAAGTTACAACGTAGTAATAATAGGACTAGTAACTCCCTCCGCGCAGCAAGGAATTAATTAAGGAAAGGAAGCCCATCCGACATCTCTACCGTTGATCCATTTTTTAATAACCAAACCCCATTGCCCATTGCTAATTTGCTACTTACATACATACATACATATATTTCGCCTCCTCCTTCAATATCTCTCTCTCTCTCTCTCTCTCTCTCTCTCTCCTTCTTCTTCTAACAAAAGTAGAGCAACAAATAACAATGGTGCTAGCTAGCCAGTGAGTGGTTGGGTTCCGTAACTGTTTAGAAAAGATAACATAACATAGCATGAGCCTTCCGCCGGGGGCTGCACTGCCTTCTTCACTTGCGTCCTACGGTTATGAATCTCAATCTCATTTCTGCAGCAGATCCTACAGCACCGCCGCCTCCGCAGCCCCCGCGCTCCTCCTTCAGCTGCGACCGACACCCTAACGAGCACTTCACCGGCTTCTGCCCTACTTGCCTCTGCGAGCGCCTCACCATTCTCGATAAATCCTCCTCCAACACCCCTTCCTCCTCCCGCCGCCCCTCCTCCGCCTCCGCCGCCATCAAAGCCCTCTTCTCCAAACCCAGCACCACCAATTTCCCCCCTCCCCCGCCTCCCGCTCAAAAATCCTCAAAACCCGCTTCGTTTTTCTCGGAGCTCCGCCGTACCAAGTCCTTCTCCGCTTCCAAGAACGAAGCAGCATTCGGCCTAAATTTCGAGCCCCAGAGAAAATCTTGCGATGTTCGGGTGAGGAATACTCTATCCTCGCTCTTCACACTCGACGACGACACCAAAACTGGTGCTACTGCTGCTATTAGTAATAAGCCCTCAATCCCCTCTTCCTCCTCTTTCCTTAACCACCATTCTACCAAACAAATCGAATCTTTCGCAGCCAATAAGCCCGTCCTCGAGGAAACTGAGCACGAGGAGGATTTCAAAGACCCGGAAGGTGTAGATAATGGCGGTGCTGTGTATGATAATAGCAACGCCAGTGAAGGAGATGAAATAAGATCTGTTCGAGAATCTCAAAGTGGTGAGGAGATCGTGCAAGAGCAGGTTGTGGATGTTACCGAGATCAAGCCTATGAAGGACCACATTGACGACATTGATTCTCAGGGGAAGAAGAGCTCCGGTGGGGGGTTTTGGGCGGCGGCGTCTGTATTCAGCAAGAAGTGGCACAGATGGAGGCAGAAACAGAAGTCCAAGAAGCGAACCAACGGTAATAACTTTGCAACATTGCCTGTGGAGAAGCCAATTTCCAGGCAGTACCGGGAGACTCAGTCTGAGATCGCTGATTATGGGTTTGGAAGAAGGTCTTGTGACATAGATCCGAGGTTTTCTCTTGATGCTGGGAGAATCAGCTTTGATGATCCAAGATATTCATTTGAGGAGCCTCGAGCTTCTTGGGATGGGTATTTGATGGGAAGGAGCTTTCCTCGGATGGCTCCAATGGTTTCGGTGATGGAGGATGCACCTACGGCCGTGCGCGCTGATATGCAAATCCCTGTGGAGGAATCATCGGTGATAAATGAGGGCGAGGCTGTGCCTGGAGGAACGGCGCAGACGAGGGAGTATTACACTGATTCCTCTTCTAGGAGGAGGAAGAGTCTTGATAGGTCTAGTTCAATTAGGAGGACAGCAGCAGCTGTGGTCGCCGAGATTGATGAGCTAAAGACTGTGTCTAATTCAAAGGTGTCACCAGCGACAGCTGATTCTTTCCATGGGGCAAAAATGATGGTGGGAGAAAGGGATTTGAATTCACACTCGTTGAGGGATGATTGTTCTGAGACGTTTGAGCTAAGTAGCGGGGTAAGGGATAATGGCTATACTACTATGAGTAATGGTAATGGTAAAGGTAGTGGGGATAGAAAGGAGTCGAAAAAGACTAGGAAATGGAGTTGGAAGCTATGGGGTTTCATACAGCGGCGAAATAGTGGGAATAAAGAGGAGGACAATGAGGATAAATACAGCAGAGCTGCAAATGGGGTGGACAGGACATATTCTGAATCTTGGCAGGATTTCAGGCGGGATGCGAATGGGAATGGGGGTATCAGGGGCGGTGGATTCAATAGGAACATGTTCCGAAGCAACAGCAGCGTGAGCTGGAGGCATGCTAATCACATAGGAGGGGGCGGGGGTGGGGGCTCTCTTGGTAGCATGAGGAGATCCGGATTAGAGGCAATAAATGGGCATGGGAAGAAGAAGAGGGATGATTTTGTATTGGAGAAGAATTGGAGTGCTAGATACTCTCCTCCGAACCATGTTGATAATGGCCTCCTGCGGTTGTACCTGACACCGACGCCAATGAGGAGCAGCAGCCGGAGAGGTGGAATGGGAATGGGGATGGGTAAAATCAAGTCAGGTAACTCTCATTCAATTGCGAGAAGCGTGCTGAGGCTCTATTGATACTGATGGTGATGTTGAGAGAGAGTCCTCTAGTGTTCCTATTTTTCAATTGACATCATCAGTTCTGCTGCTGCTGCTACTACATTTGTGTTGTACCAATTGAATGGAGTAGTTCATTGTTGTTTGGAATGAATGCATTTGAATCTTTTGATGGTACGATGTTATGACTTTTTATTACCGGAGGTGGTATGGTATAATAATGAGAAAGATGTGTTATGTTTCTTGATTTGATCATCCCCTTTCTCTCATGGTAAATGGTTCTTGAGCATCTTTTACGCTAGTATATGATGTTAGAAGTAAACCCCAATTGGTAGGTTGGTACAACATGTTTTTTCCTTTCTCCCTATCTGGAAATTTATAGTGTATGTCTTTGGTTCAACTGGTAATAATAGATAGATAGATAGATAGATAGGGTGTTGGGGAGCAAATTTAGATGATGATTCTTCTTCTTCTTCTTCTTCTTCTCATGATTGTTAGTTAGGTTAGGGTGTGAGCAATGATTGTTGGCGTAATTTGTGTTGAGTGGTGATGATTGTTTCTACTTGTTGTCAAAATGAGAGTGTGATGTGAGTGAGTGAGTGATTTCAGGGAGGCAGGCAAAGTGAAAGTGGATGATCATGATCATGATCCATCATCCACCTGCAAATTCAAAACTGGGGCAGAATGAATTTTGTCTCCAGTCTCCTGTGATGCGGTGTCACTTTGGGCTTCAAAGGGAATAAGTAATGTTCATTGATTCAATTCTTTCTTTCTTGTCCAAGCCAAGCCAAGCTGCCCCTTGATATGTAATGTATGTACATCAAATTCAAACCTACATGCTTTCGCTTTGCAAACACATGCTTATGTTTGCTACCTTTGCTTGCCACTGGCCAACCCAAGATTTCTTTTTGGAGTGAGTGAGTGGGTGATGATATATATACATATACATACAGAGTGTAAAGAAAGCAGAAAGAAAGAGCAAACTTATTGGGATTGAGGAGGGAGCATTGACCAGCTACTTGAATACTTGTTTTTATTATTCTGTCCTGCACATATTATGCATGCTATTTATTCTATACGTTCGTTACCTATGAATTCTGACACTAATGAATGATATTACAAGTGATGGAGGTGGTAACACTACACGACCAGGGCACACCCATCACAGAACCAAGACAAAGTGTGAAATCATGAAAGATGCAGCAGCACAGCAATCTCAATCAGCACATAGGAGAGGAGAGGAGGCTTAAGGAAAGTCAAAAGGTGCCTCCACTGAAAAATACAACAATTCCAACTTATGCTATAGTGTTGTGTTTAGTTGGTGAATCATCATGATGAATCCATATGTGTTTTGTCAGTAAAGAAAAAAGGAAGATGGAGAAGATCAAAAGATGAACCCAACCAAAGAGAGGCCAGTCTCATAATCCCAAGGCAAGGCTAAGCAAGACAAGACAATATCCACCATATATCATATGATTAGCATTAGTATTAGTATTTATTAATCAGGCTGCAATGGCATCATGAATAAGTGATTGTGAGTGAGTGAGTGAGCTAGTGCAGTAGAACCAACATAAAGAAGAGCCACCCAATTTACCTTGCTTTTTCTTCTTCCAATGTACCCACCCCCACCCCCACCCTCTTTGTCAAAAAGGTCATGCACTCACTTCTTTATTCAATTAGCAATTAGCAATTAGCAATATGCAGTAGAGCAGAGATTATTGAACGTGGAAATACACCAAACCAAAACAAATAAAATTACCATTTGGAATCATATAGTATATATAATTTAGCTTTAATCTCGTCCGTCAGTCCGTCCACATTAATCAATCAGTCTCTGCTGCACTACTTTACTTTGACTGCCTGCCTGCACCAAACTTCTTATCTATTTATTTATGATTCATGAAGCAAGCACCCCAAAATTGATTTTTGCACAACAAAGGTACTCATTCACTCACTCTCTGGTTGGAGGCAAAGAGTCAACTAGCTCTCTCTCTCTCACACATTTTCTTCAGGAACAAAAAACTTCAACTGAATCATTAAGGTACAACCATTACAAGAGCTGCAGAAAGGTTTTAGATTACAAAAATTTGGATCAAACTCATCCTCTATTAGGCAGCCTTTCACACAAAGATGGAACTGCAATGAATCCTGAAGATCTTCATAGGAATTTGTCTTTTTTGCCACATATTTAACTTCTTCTTTATCATCATTATCAATTTGGCTTATAGTTATAGATGAAAGCCGTGTCTGCTGGCCCATGCAGAATATAAACATTTGAACAACAACAACCAAAATAATAATGATAGTAATAACAATTCACACGTGTTTCCCACACCTCTTGGAAAACCACTCCAGGCCAGGGCATTCATGCATGCTTCCTAAGGTTATTTCCCATGGCATGATATTAAATATTGTCTCAAAAGTTGTTTTGGCTTCAATGTCCATCCATCCTTTGAAACTTGCTGTGCCACCGATCTCATCAAACTTTCAGCTAAAGATAAAGAAAACAGGAACAAGATCGCATTGCAGATCAGCAAAGTAGCTTTTATCTAGTTAAGCACATGAACTAGCTACAAGTTGAGTCTCCTAGCCAAATGTTCTTCCTGCAGTTTTCAGGTTTTCCAATTTCACCTGAACAAATTTGGAATTTTCAACATGAGGGAAGAGTATTCTCCAACCAGGTTTCTAAAAGGGGCGAACAAACATGTATTTGTGTTCAATCCATCTAACGTTAATAGTGGCGGGTTCAACTTGTTCATGAGTTCCATTGTTTACTTTATTGTGCTCTCCTAATAATATTCATCATAATATTCAAGCTGTTTGTCCCAAATAATCTGTATGTCGATGAGATAAAATTATATATATATGTATGGCTGTATGGAAAATTATGCAACTTGCTGAGGAAAAGATGAGTATACACTAGTTCTAGGATTAAACAAAATGAAGAGCTACAAATGAAAATAAAATCTACGCTATTAATAGACAAGACTCAAGACTCGGCAACTAATTCTTAAAAAGATGCAACTAAACCTCCACTAAATTAACCAACTCAATTGACTAGTTCCAGATAAAGTAAGGAACTAAATTTTTTGCCCAATTAATGATAAAATGACATAAAACAATATGCACTAATTTTTATCAATCCCCCTTAGTGCATGCTTGGAATCAATGACTCCTAAGGCTGCTCTGAAACATTCAAACTTGGATTTTTCCAAAGCCTTCGTAAATATATCGGCAACCTGATGAGTTGAAGAGACTGCCTTCACATCAATATCACCATTAAGAACCTTCTCACGAACATAATGATGACGAACCTCTATGTGCTTTGTTCGAGCATGAAAAACTGGCTTTGAGGCCAGTTTGACGGCACTCTCATTATCACATAAAATACCTACAGCATAGTTGATCTCCCCAGAGATGTCTTCCACCAGTCTCCTTAACCAGACGCATTCTTGTGCTGCCATAGATGTTGCGATATACTCAGCCTCGCAGCTAGAAAGAGCAACACTAGCTTGTTTCTTGCTGCACCATGAAACCCCAGCTGAACCAGTACTGAAGCAATAACCAGAAGTTGAAGGATGATCATTTTGGTCGCCTGCCCAGTCTGCATCACAGTATCCTCTCAGAATAAAATCATCTCCACAGCTACACATGAGATCAAAGTCAATTGTACTTTTCACATAGCGCAAAACTCTTTTTGCAGCTTCTAAATGAGTGGTTCTTGGATTCTGCATGTATTGAGAAATGCTGCCAATTGAATAAGAGATTTCAGGCCTTGTGACAGTTAGATAAATTAAGCTTCCAACAAGTTGTCTGAACTTTGTAGCATCCTTTAACAACTCTCCTTCATCTTTCTTTAGTTTGAGCCGTGGTTCCATTGGTGTAGCTTTTCCTTTTGATTCCTCCATTTCAAAGCATTTCAAAAGTTTTCTTGCATATCCTTTCTAAGAAAGAAAGTATCCTTCTTCTGGTCGTTCAACTTCGATACCGAGAAAACAGCCCACTTCGCCGAGGCTCTTCATTTCAAAGCGAATAGATAATTCATTTCTCAACCTCAAAATTTCAGCTTCATTGTTTCCTGTGATTATCATGTCATCCACATACAACAGAACTAAAAGGTGCACATTTTATTCCAATTTTATAAATAGGCTAGAACCGGCATCAAATATTTTAAAGCCACAAAAAATAAAGTATTGAGCTACTTTTCCATACGAGGCTCGTGGTGCTTGCTTAAGGTCATACAAGGCCTTCTTTAGTTTGCAAACATGGAACGGATTTTTCTTAGATACATGTCCTTCAGGTTGCTCCATAAACACATCACGACCCAAGTCTCCGTACAGAAATGCATTCTTTACGTCTAGTTGCCACAATTTCCACCTTTTGAAGGCTGCAAGTGAAATTATTGATCGTAATGTTACCACTTTTGCAACTGGACTGAAGGTCTCCTTGTAATCTAAGCCATAGCTTTGAGAAAATCCACGTGCAGCTAACCGGGCCTTGCACCTCTCAACAGTGCATCTGGTTTCTTCTTCAATCGGAACACCCATTTGCAAGTAACTGGCTCACAATTCTTTGGTTTTGGCACAAAGTCCGATGTTTTATTTTTATGCAGAGCGTCAATTTCATCTTGCATAGCCGCTTTCCATTCGGGTATGCTCTTGGCTTCTTCATAACTTTTGGCACTAGTTGTTCCAATAAAGAAACATGAAGTAATGCTGCAGTGATTTCAGCTCTACTTCGTAATCATTAAGATGTTGTGGTTGCCGCCTTTCTCTTCCAGACATTCTTAAATCTTGTCCAATTTGGCATTGGAGTGTCACTCGCACTTGGCTCGTCACTTTCTGGTTCTTCAAAGTTATTTTCTGGTAGTAACTGCACCCCGCTTTGCTCACTGTCACATGCAGCCCCTTGATAGTAGGTTGATATTTCATCAAACACTACGTCTAGATGTTGTAAACTTCTTAGTTTTTGGATCCATACACTTTCGCCCTTTCCTACAAGGATCATAGCCAACAAAAATACACTTCTTTGCTTTGGGATCAAGCTTAGTCCTGTTAGCTTTCGGAATGTGAACATACACTACAAAAAAAATCACAAATTGCGACGGAATTATTCCGTCGCAAATGCATATTTTTCCATCGCAAATTCATTTTGTGATGGATTTTATATCCAATTGAAAACCGTCGCAAACAATTGGTTGCAATTCCCGAACGAACAACCTGGGTTCCGTCGTAAAAATTGAAATGGAAGTTGCAATGAAAATTCCGTCGCAACATTGAAATGAAAGCATTAATGGAAATTTTGTCGCAACATTGCATTGAAACTAATCTGTTGCAAATTCCATCGAAATATTGAAATGGAAGCAACAATGGAAATTCCGTTGCAACATTGCAATAAAATTAATTTATTGCAAATTCAGTCGCAACATTGCAATAAAATTAATTTATTGCAAATTCAGCTGCAACATTGAGTAACATTGCAATGTAATTAATCTATTGCAAATTCCGTCGTAACATTACAAAAAAATATTTACATTTGAACATATTAAGAATTAATATCAATATGAATTACTAAATTACATTATATACATTTGAAACTTGCTAGAAGTTTTTGCATCCATAGGAACTGAATTATGTACTCGTGATGGTGAGCCTACAATATATCACACACATTTATAAGTTTGAGAAAAATAAAAAATAAAATAAGTGGGAGAGCCTACAATATAACAAAAACACTTAAGCCCTCCTCCTCCTCCTCTTCTTCTTCTTCTTCATATTCTGTTTCATCAGTGGCCTCTACCTCCACTTCAGAGTCAGATGAAGAAGATTCAGAGGGAGCATCCTTATCACCATGTTCATACCTGTAGAACCTCCTCTTTATCATTCTTTATCACCATGTTCATACCTGTAGAACCTCCTCTTTATCATTCTTTATCACCTCTTTATTCTCAACTGAAAAGTATAAAAATGGAGTAAAATCAGCACTAAAGACTTGCTCAAAGTAATTACAAAATAACTTCCATCTACAAATATAGACTAGTTCTTCCAAGCTCGAAGCTTTTATCTTCGGACTAATACAAATAACCATCACCTACATTAATGCAACTCAAATCCAATTAGTCTCTTCCTGGAGTCTTCAAAGTAGCTTAACGTATTTCCACAGGAGGTATTTAATTCACGCAAAGCACAAATTGTTGGAATATTAAAACATTAGATTGTAGCTAGAAATAATTTCACCAACGCTCAGAGCATCGAAACGAAACTGTATAGACATATTTCTCTCGCAAAGTGCATAAACATTCAATAAATTCAAACCAAGCCAAAATCTCCTGGAACCATGGTTCGCCGGATCGGCCGATTCGGGTCCGACTCGGCCGATCCGGAACCGGAACGGGCAGGACCGTTCCGGTACGAAAAAAAATCCGATTTTCTTCCAAATCTTCATGAAATCATTCAATTTTTTTTTATTTTGGAGATGTTTTTGTCAATCATTCTCCTTCCGTTACTTCAATTTAATACGTAGAACTTGTGAAGTACTTCAATTTCATATTTGGAATTTGAAACTTGGAAAGGAGAAGATGTGAGTTTAGGGATAAATTTAGGGAAGATATTGTTCGGTAAGATGAAGAAGTAGTGGAAGGTGCGGCTGCGTTGTGAATAAAGAAGGTTGCTGAAGAAGAAGAGGATTGGAGAGGAAGATCGAGCAGTGTTGTCGGTTGGGGAAGAGGATAGTGTAGGTTGGGAAGAAGAACGAGTAGCGAATAATTAATTGAAAATATTTTGGAAAATAATCTAAATAATTATTTAAGTCCATTTAACTTAATTTTTGTAAATATAAGTATAAAATTAATTTATTTACTTTGGATCGGAATTAGTATTAGATTATTTTAATTATTTTGTTTATTTAATTTTTAAATTTAATTGTTTTGATTTGTCTTTAATTTTTACTTAATTTATTCAAATTGATTTTCTTTAAAATTGATATTTTAGAATAACTTATAACTAATTGTAAAATTATTTTTTAGATCAAATTATATATATAATTTTAAAATTAATTATATTTATGTTTTAATATATTTAATTGTGTATATTATCATTTTTTAAAATAAAAAATTTTATATAAAAATAATGTTGACCGATATTTGAACGATACACCGCACCGATATGCCGCGACGTATCTGGAACGGTGAAAGCCGATCCGCGACAACGATCCACGACGGCGAACCATGCCTGGAACAGAATAGTAGTGCTTCCAAATATGTATCTCTCTAACTGCGAATTAGTAAGTGTCCATTAAATGCCAGAGGTATGGAACCAGAGAAGATACCTGAAAATTCGAACGGCTGCTTGCGATGTCTCAGTGTCCGCGACGAAGAAGAAAGGGAAAGGGTTTTGGAGAAGCAGAGAAGGGATCACCTGTATATGCATTTGCAGCAAGCAACTTAGAACAAATTCCCCAAATAAATATAAATAATATGCTTTGTTTTAATCAATCCCAGAAACCACCAAAGGCAGACATTAAATCACTGAAATTAAGTAGGGGGGAAGGTGGATAAATTTTATATACAACTATTATTATTATTATTATTATTATTATTATTAGTTGTTTTAATAATAATGGTATGTACGGTTATATTATATGTAAATGTGTAAAAATGTATATAATAATAATATAATAATATTATTAATATTAATACAATTTTAGGATATAATAATAATAATTAATACAAAAAGATTTTTTTTTTTTATTACAACAGAATGTATATCAATTGTAAAATCCATTGTAAAATTGCAATGGATTTTTTTATTTGTCGACTAAATTGCCATAGAATATATATCAGTTGTACAATTCATTGCCAAATGTACAAAGGAGATCGAGTAATTGTCACGACTGACAACTCCACCTATCCGGTAGAGAAAGAAGGCGTGGTGAACTTTGGAGCACATGATCAAACCACAGTCAAGCTGAAGGATGTTTATCATGTTTCAGGTTTGAAAACAAATTTGGTTTCAGTTTCTCAAATTACTAAATCTGGAAAACATGTACTGTTTGGGCCCAAGGATGTGAAAATTATGGATAATGTGAAGATAATATCCGGAAATGTTCTCGCTTCAGGTGAGAGGAAAGGCTCCTTGTTCGTCTTGTCCGCAGGAGAAGCATACATATGTCAAGAAAACAAGCCAAACTGAAAGCGCATCGATTTGGCATGCAAGATTAGGACACTTGGGATACCAATTGTCGCAGCAGATATCATAATGAAAACTAGTGGATGGTATGCCATCTTTACAAAAGGTACATGAGGAAATTATTTGCCAAGGGTGTCAATTTAGTAAGTCTCATCACCTTCATTTTGTAAGATCGACAAATCGGAGATCTGTGATGCTTGAGTTGGTACATACTGATCTGATGAGACCAACGTAACTAAAACACCAAGTTACAGCGGATATAAATACCTTATGGTGTTTGTAGATGACTTTACAAGGTACACTTTCCTACGGGATAAAAGTGAAGCATTGGAGATATTCAAGGAGTTCAGAGAAGCTGTGGAAAAAGAATTTGGATTACCCTTAAAATGTTTGAGCAGCGACAATAGTGGAGAATACATGTCAAATGACTTCTTTAAATACTGCGACAAACATAGCATCTCAAGACAATTGACGTGTCCAAACACTCCACAGTAGAATGGCGTTTCCAAAGAAAAATGCACATCTTGTATCAGTAAGTCTTTCATGGCTGCATGATAAAAATCTTCCTCGAGAACTTTGGGCCGAAGTTGTTCGTTGCGCATGTCATGTGATCGATCGACTACCTCCCTGGCCAGGTAAAGAAAAATCACCTTTTGAGGCAGTATATAAGGTCAAAGCGAATGCGAGTCACTTGGGAGTATTTGGTTCTATATGCTATGTTGAGTAGTTTGTTTTCATAAGTATACTAAAGTCTTCTCTTTTTTTTTTTTTTTTTTTTTTTTTTTTTTTTTTTAAGAAAATTTTTGTTCGTCATTTTTTTTGGGGGTAAATTTCTACCTTTTCTAATATATATTCAGGTTTTGAATAAAATCAAATCTAACTATTCTATTTTTTTAATTAGATTACAATTTTTATACTCCCTTCATCCCACAGCAAAGTTGCCACTTTCTATTTTTATCCGTCTCATTACAATGTTACCGTTTCCTATTTTAGTAACTTTTATACACATCTAAAATAACAAATACCCTCCTTTTTACATTTTATTACGGAAATGCCCTTCTACATTTTTACACAAATAACAAAATTAAAACACATTTAATACTCACCCCATTAATTTAACTTCTACCTACCCGTCTAATATCTATCTATCCACCATCACTCTCTCACCCACCTTCCTCTCGATTAAGGTTTGTAACCCTCGCCATCCTCTACGCCGTCGTTGTCGCCCCTTTCTTTTCGACTCATTTTTCCGGTGATGTCGTTCGCCCCACACTCCCCTGTAGCGGCGGAGGGTTGTTCCTCCCTTGAGAGGGATCGTTTACGCTTTGTGGGTGGGTTTTCGGAGTTGTTTAGTGACTCCAATGATTCCTCCAAATCGGTCGTCGCCGATGCCTTTTCCGTTTCCGATTTCTTTGGATCTACTACCGCGAACACTAATCCCATGGTGCTCCATGGATTCGCCCCTGATTCGGAGCCGGAGGTTGATTCAAGTGTTGCCCTTGTTCGAGCCAGGCGATCGCTGTTTTGGATACCTTCTTCGTCGACCCGGGGTAGGATTGAAGCGGCTCCATTGAGTTGCTCTTCTACCAGTGGAGTTGTCATCGATATGCTTCGTATATACTGTCCTCTCACCGTCGAGCCACTGGAGTACCGTGTTGGAGGTTGGTAGATTTCATTTTCTTTCAAATTATGAAGATGTTGCCCTAAAAATTTTGTTTAACGTACCGTGAATAGGCTTGTTAATTTTTGTTAATGAACTTATTAATCTTTGTTTGTTGTTGTTTGTAGGAAAAATTGAAAATCATTTGGGTCAATGATTTACTATCCTACGGCTACATGTTGGATGGTATGATCTCTACAGGTGAGGTAAAAATCGATATACTTGTTGCGAAAAATTGTGGCTTACTTGATTGTCCCTGATTATGTGTGTGTGCAAAATTTGTATGGCAAGTCATTGTTGGTTTTGGGTATGAATAGCCTGAGATGATGAAAATTTTAAGTCACTAGTGATTTGAATAAGTAGGTGGTTCACTGTTGCATAAAAACGAGTTTTTGGAGACTTATACTTAGTATAAAGTCATCGCTCGTCCAACATGAGCACGGTCCCTTATTTGATTCAATACATTTCTTAACAATGTATTGAATTCAGGCATTCAATGATCTATACATTGAGAGAATGTTTTAACGTTGTCCCTTGTACTCGATGATGATTTTATAATCTGAGAGCGAAAGTCTCGTGTCCCTAAATTACCTCATTGACCAGGACCAAAATTCAAACAAAATGGCCTGAAAAAATTTACTTCTATGCACTCGGTGATGATTCTATAATATGAGGGTGTCAAAGGTTCCGGTACAAAACACAACAATGTAACACAACTGTAACTGAATTTAAAGAGATTACATTACAATTGCAAAGTGTTGTTTCAATATAGCATTTTGTGAGTTGTAATGAAACTCATATACAAAAGAGAAAGTAGTTACAAAAACTTTCCTATGGCTACTAATTGCAAATGATATTAATGCTTACAAATGAGGAAATACCTCTGTCCTTCAAATCAATTCCTCAATGGCAGTGATTAGTTCTTCGAAACCTTCTGCTTCATTTGCTTCTATTAATGTATCAATGGATGCCTTGATCAACTCCTGGTCAATCTCTAGGTTGTGGGAAGTATATTGTTTCTTATCATTGCAGATTTACCAATACGAGGAATCTTGTAGTTGTTTCACCCGTTGCATGCCATTATTTCCTTAAGACAACCTTGCAAGCTTAGGAAAACATTGTTTAAGGTTGTGTCGGATAGTTGGTCAAAAGATTTATGCACCGCCTGTAACAGTTCATCCACGTTTGATGCTATGGTTGAAACTTGTAGTGACTGTAGTGCTTGAAACCACCCCAAATCATTTATATTTGTGTCGGGACTGTTTGATGGTTGAAAAGTAAGATGGATATCAAATCCATCGCTGCTTGCAGTTTTCCTAAAGTCCGGATCACTGTCATCAATGTGTGGTTTGACATTGTTTTGTTGTATTAAAATGCTTTTGCTTGCTCTTGCTGGCCATTTCGCTTTAATCATTGGAAGTAACTCCATATATTTGGAAATGCATTTATGTGGAACTCATACTCATCTATATTCATATGTAAAAGTGGTAATACCTCGTTGATTATTAATGCCTTGGTGACTTCCTTTGTGATTGAATCCATTGGCTTCGTTTCCAAGGTGCTAGCAAGTCGGTTTTTTGATTTATTTCTGGCTGGAACTTGTTTTGTGAAAGTAAAAATACGTATTTTCCCATCAAAAATACATTGCCCTTCTTCTCCATATAAGGGTCTGCTCACAGCACATAGGAACATTACCTTTGTAATAAACCTTTTGTTTTGGCAGACCCTATAAGGATCAAACTCGTCGGGGGTGAGATAATATTTTTCAGTGTTACGAGTAATATAAAACCATTTTTCGTCTATGTGTACAACATTAGACATGCTCTTAAACTTGATGACACTCATATCCTGGCCCACTTCGACATGATTCAGACTGAATCTCAGTTGGATGCTGTCAATGCTGGTTTTATGGCATTACTGTGGTGCCTGATCAGGCCATTTTTGGCCCACCTTCCGACAGTGGACTTGCTAACACACATTTCATGTGCCACACTACGATAACTGCCACGCTTACTGTACGGAATATTTTGCATTGCTGTGTTGTCGAGAATGTGTTTCTTTTCACTCCTTTTACCTATTTTATGGTTGTTTAAATTGATTGGCATACCTGATGCTTGCTGTTGCATGGCTCTTTTCCATATTCTACGTACTACATTGCGTGAAACGCCGAATTTGATTGCTGCTTCATTGATCTTTCTATGTGCAGGCCTTCGATTCTTGTTGTTTTCTAACAAAAATTGCGCTATATTGTTGAGTTCCACGCTCGTTAGATTCTTCCTTCTCTTCATTTGAGGTAATGAATATTTTATCTAGCTTCAAATTCATTGCTATTAATGATGCATTTATAGATGTAGTTTGAGAGGGAAGTGAAATTGTTAAAGGGAGGGATAATAATATTTTGATAAGAGGGAAACTGAAAACTATTTATATTCTCTTTTGCAGGTGAAAAATTGAGAGAAGAATGTAATTGTTTATTGCACTGTCCGTGGCCGCTGTATGTTTGTGAAAAAATTGTGTATTTGCATCATTTAAGTGTATTATTGTCTATTTATATTAATTATGTATTAAACAACCATATATTTTAACATTATGCTTTTTTTTTAATTGATTATGTATTAAGTAATGTATATTTTAAAATTAGATTATTGTTTGTATTAACTAATATTAGTTTACTTTTTATTACTTTATCAATGACTTAAAGGATCTTTTCTCATTATTTTGTACTATCCACCAATATAATACTAGTATAAAAAACAACGTGCCAAAGTAAATGGCAATCTTCCTCTGAAACGGAGGGAGTACTGTATATTTTTTATTTTATTTTAGTCTTCAACCCCGCCAACCGTATGGTGCTGGCTCCCCCATTGTTTCCACTTCTATAATTAATTTAATTATTACAATTTATTTAATCATTTGTGTACACCAGTCTAGAGTAAAATACATATAATTATATCTAGTATTTATAGCATACAGTCCTTCATCATTAAGTAATATGTATCCTGATTTGGTACACATAGCTACAAGGTGTTTGCTACATAAGTTCTTAATATGCATCCATAATTGATACACGTAGTTGCAATATGTTTGTATAGATATAGGCATGAAATATTCAACATTTTTCCTTGGATGTTTTTTTTTTACAGATAATGTGTCTCGTTAAACCTTACTAAGAAAAAACTCATTGGAAAATAATTCTAGTGAAAGAAAAAAAAATACATCATTTTAGGCTGTCGGGTAAATGAGGCTCGACTGGGTGATCGCCTAATACTCGACGAAGTTGAGATACATGAAACACATGATGGATACGACTAGTGGCTGGCAAAGCCAGCTTATATGCGACCTTTCCTACGCAATGGGTGCCCTGGCGCAAACTGCCTTGGCGATAGGGTCTGACCTTCAAGAATACTAAGTCACCAACCTGGAAGGTGAGCTCACGGTGATGGGCATTAGCTGTATGCACCATGCGATGTTGAGCACGCTCCAAGTGGTGTTTCAACTGTCGCAAAACTGCCTCGCGGCCGCCAAGTAACTCTGAAGCTGCAGCAACTCGGCATTCCTCTGGCAAGAAGCTATGCAGTGTGGATGGCGGTCAGCCATAAACGATTGAGAAGGGCGTAGTGGCAGCGGCAGTGTGGAAGGAGGTGTTGTACCATTACTCAGCCCATGGAAGGCAGGCTGCCCATTTTCGGGGCTGTTCCGAGCAAAAACAACGAAGGTATGTCTCTAGTGTGCGATTCAAGGCTTCAGTTTGGCCGTCAGTTTCCGGGTGATACGCCCAGCTGAAAAGTATTTTTGTGCCCTGTAAATGAAACATCTCTTGCCATAAGGAACCCATAAAAATTCGGTCGTGATCGCTCACTATTGTACGTGGCATTCCATGTAGATGAACTATCTCATTGACAAAGATCTCGGCAATGGAGGTGGCGGTGTAATGGCGCCGTAGTGCAATAAAGTGCCCATATTTACTGAGTCGGTTGACGACTACCAAGACACAAGAGAATCCCAAAGATTGAGGAAGGCCAGTGATGAAATCCATTGCTAAATCTTCCCAAACTCTCTCCGGGTTAGGAAGGGGCTGCAGAAGTTCTCCAGAAGAAAACGTCTCCTATTTAGCCTTCTGGCAAGTGAGACATTGTTTAACATATTTACGAACTCGGCGATACATTCCTGCCCAATACACAGAAGCAGCCAATCGTCGGTAGGTGCAGTGTACTCCCGCGTGACCACCAAATGGGGTGTCATGAAATTCCTCCAACAATTTTTCTATCCATGGGGGGGTTGCCGACAACACCAAGTGCCCCCGATACAATAAAATTCCTTGTCGATATTCATAATAAGGATGTGATTTGTTCCCTGAGATAAGATCTTGGATAATCACCTGCAATGCCGGGTCAGATTTTTGCTCGGCCACAAGCTCATCTGCAGCTGGCCAATGCAGCAAAGAAATCGCAGAAAACTGAGCTGTTTTGGTGGGAGCCAGCCTCTGCACCTGATCAGGAGACAATAATGAAAGCTCTTGCCGGCGGGAAAGGGAATCAACAGCAGCATTGATACGACCTAGTTTATAAACCACATCGAAGGAATACCCAAGAAGTTTGGCTATCCAAGACTGCTGAGCGGGAGTACCAATCTTCTGAGAGAGTAGATGGCGCAAACTATGATGATCCGTATGCACCGTGAAATGGCGGCCAATCAGATATGGACGCCAATGTTGTATGGAAAACACTAAACTTATCAATTCTCGTTCATAGGCTGATTTCCCTCGAGCTCTATCTCCTAGCGCGTTACTGAAATAAGCTATAGGCCTATGCTCTTGCATAAGTACCGCACCTATGCCGGAGCCAGAGGCATTAGACTCTACGATGAATGATTTGTTAAAATCCGGCATTGCAAGCACAGGGGCTGTGATAAGGGCCTGCTTTAATTTATCGAAGGCAGCCTGTGCTGATGGTGGCCACGAAAACTTCCTTTCTACAGCTTCCTTACGCAGGAGATCAGTCAATGGGCGAGCAATGCTACCATAGTGTTGCACAAACCGTCGATAATATCCAGACAACCCTAGAAAACCACGAACGGCCTTAGTCGAATGCGGAATTTCCCAATCCCAAACAGCCTGTAACTTAGCCGGGTCCATGGAGACTCCATTGGAAGAGATAATATGCCCCAAATATTCCACCTTTAGGCTGCCAAATGTGCACTTCTTGCGATTTGCCACAAAACGACTCTCTTGCAGTAACTAAAGTGTTTTATTTAAGTGCTGCAAGTGCTTCTCTAAACATGGGCTATAGATTAGTATGTCATCAAAGAATACCAAAATATATTTACGCAAGTAAGGTCGAAAGAGATCGTTCATGGTTGTCTGGAAGGTGGCAGGAGCATTGGTCAGTCCAAATGGCACGACTAAGAATTCATAATGTCCGTTGTGAGTCCGAAAAGCAGTTTTATGCACATCCTCCGGGGCCACTTGAATTTGGTGATAGCCTGAGCGAAGATCAATTTTAGAAAATATTGTTGCACCGGAAAGCTCATCTAACATCTCTTGAATCACCGGGATTGGGTATTTGTCGGCAATGGTGGATTTGTTGAGCTCTTGGTAGTCAACACAAAGCCTCCAACTCCCATCTTTCTTTTTGACCAGTAAAACGGGGCTTGAAAAAGGGCTAGTGCTGGGACGGATGATTTCTGCAACAAGCATATCGTGTACCAAACGTTCAATCTCATCTTTTTGGATCTGTCCGTACCTGTAGGGGCGTACAGATGCCGGCACTGCTCCAGGTTTCAATGGAATGCGGTGGTCGCTATAGCGATTCGGTGGCAACTCATTCAGTTCTGCAAACACCTCAGGGAATTCCTCAAGAATCTGCGCAATTTTTGGCAGCATTGCAGGCCTGTTCTCAGGGCTGTTGTGGTAATTCTCGATGTCTGAACGTAAAAGTAAGGCGCTGAATTCCACCTCTATAATATCCAACAAGTTCTGAATAGTTTCTGGGCCCTGATACAACTCTGGATCGCTGCGCAAGGTCATCTGCTGCCCCGCCAAGTAGTACTGCATCTCCAAGGCTTTCCAATCCATCTGAATTTTTCCTAATGTCCTGAGCCATGTGACACCCAATATTATATCCACCCCACAAAGAGGAATTACGTGACAGTCTGTCTGCATTTCTGCTCCATCGATCTGTATACTCAATTTCGAGCGTACTCCCGTACTTGCAACCTTGCGACCATCGCCTAGTACAACGTTTGAATTCCTGTGTGGCGTCTACGTTCAATTTGGCATGTAGAACCAATTTTTGGGAAATAAAATTATGGCTTGCACCGCTGTCAATTAGTACCGTTACGCTAAATCCAAAAAGACTACCACAAAGACGCATGGTTCAGGGTCCCGAAAATCCAGCCAAGGCGTATAAAGGAACGGCCCTCTGTGTTGTTTCCTCCTCGGGCGGTTGGTCACTTTCCATGGTAGGTTCCGCCTCCTCAGTAAATTCGCCCTCTCTCATTTCTCTTAACTCCGCAACCCAGTTGCCTAAATCATCCTTCACCACAACATTAAGATATTTACTTTCGCATTTGTAGAGTGGACTATAGGGTTGTTTGCACTAGTAGCAAAGCCGTTTCTCTTGACACTCACGATACTCGTCGCGATTTAATTTTCTTGTGCTACCCCTTGAGGAAGGGGCTGAAGTGACTGATCGTTGCCCCCCACAATATTGCTGCTAGTCGAATGGCGGTTCTCTACTCCTCCAGTTGTGTGTGAGGAGATAGTGCTTCCAGCTCACCCAACTAGGTTATTTCGCAGTGTCGAAAAGGTTTTTTTCAGATACAATTCTGCCGCAGATCCATTTTTCAACTCCCATTCAATGCTTCTGCTTACACGGATTGCAGATTCGAGATCCGGGGCACTACAAAAAAAATTACAAATCACTACGGAAAAATTCCGTCACAACTGACAAAATTTCTGTCACAACTTTCAATTACAACGGAATTTGCGACCAAGTAGAAGTTGTAGTAAATATTATTGTAGTAACCCAATGTGACAATTAAAATTTTCTGTTGCAGAGAATTGCAATAGAATCAGTGACAGTCATTTCTATCGCAATTTTTTGTTACGGAATTTTACTACAGAAATATATTGTTATCATAGTGCAATATAATGGAAAAAATTTGTGGCTAATTCTATTGCAAGTTTTTGCAACGCATTTTAAAAAAGAATATATGTGTTGCAAATAGAATAGCAAATTGCGAGAGAATATAACTATTGCTAATTCCGTCGCAATTTTTACAATTTCTTTTGCTCATTTCTTGTCAATTTTTTTTCCAATATCTATCTAAAAAATATTAATTCAATCCTCCATAATCAATAAATTTAATGATTCAATTAATATATCTTCTCAAAGATACAAGAACTAGTTGAAATCATATAAAATTTTCAAATTTAAACACTATTAATAGACCAAAAACACAATGTATTTAGTATGAATACCGCAATTTGCGGAGCTCGAGCGATTCTTGAAGAACACCGATGCCTTATTCTTATCCAAATGCATCATGCACATTTCCAACGTGTAAACACGCGACTCGACGCTATCCGATTTAGCACAGGCGGAGTAGACGTGCCATTTATTACGCCTGTCGTCGCCGCACATCACGTGAACTTCGCTGATGAGGCCAAGTTTGGCGAAATGGCGATCGAGAACAGCGACTTCGTCAGAAAAGCTTCGATGTGGATACGACTGAGCGCCCGGGAACATAAAGCATCCGCGAGTGTATTTGACAGAGCACACCATGAGCCCGATCGTTCCAGCGAGATTAACGACGGGCAGGATCGAGAGCAGTAATTTAGTAGTCCCACAAGTTTTGAGGATCATCCTGTACGGGTACACGAAAAGGCTAGAGTCCGACAGCACATAGGAGTCAACTTCATCGTTGCATAATGATGCGACAATCGTGCATTCTGCTGGCGCCAGAATTTCATCCAACTGCGCTTTAGAAAGAGCTCGGTGGCCACGGTTCTCAGGATCAGCAAATATTCCAGGATTGAAAAACGATATCTCAAGTCTTTTCTCATAACCTTCAAAACCGATTGCCGAGGGCACCATAGCCATTTTGATTCAGTAGGAAAAGGCGCGAGGAAATAATACAAAAGCAGAGTTTGAAAGCTGAATAACTGGTTATGATCACAGAGCTTGACGAATATCAGGATGGCTTCCGAGCACACTGAATTTCAAAAAGTTGACAAATAAAATGCATATAATAGCACAAGATTAATCGTAAACTGGATAAATATTACAGGGTAACAAGTAAAGCTCACGTTGGAGTATGGAGCAGATCGGAACTTCTTGATTCCTCCGTTCGGGCGAACATATTCGATTGTGTATTCGAGAGGAGCTTCATATGATAAGTTTTTACTACTAGACTCGTTCTTCCCTCCCTTTAATTCCATTATGTCATTCAGTTCTTCCCTTGTAAACAGTTAAATGCAATTCAGAAAGACAAGAATTCGATAAATTCGAAAGGTAATAACTAATAACAGATCTCTTTTGAAGTAAAACTTTTAACAGAGCTCACAACAACTAATCTGAATCAATTACATACAAATATAGACCAATTTTCCAGATGACATGAAAGAGGTTTATCGATTCTACTAATGAACAAATGGTATACTTCACATATAATTCATGATTTTCAGTTTCAATCGATCAAACTAGATCCAGCAATTCACTGTAAAAATTCGCAAAATCCAACTATAATCGGAAAATTCATGCTGCATAAAAACACAACAATATCGATTATAATCACAAATTCAAATTCAAATTCCAACACGTAGCACCAGGATATAAATCGCGAATCACGTTGTACATCGAAATACAAATACTCATCAAATAAAAGAGAAACTAAAAATTGAGATGGTTCGATTCGCCTCGCGCTTACAATTAAACGTGTTCGATGTGCGCAATAAACTCCGATCAGATGCAAGTGAAGAACTATGTTGTTTTCTTTTTCACGGTCGTCTCGCGAATAACAATCCTAGAAATTCAAATGAAACCGCTAACATTAACAAGGAAGGGGATCAAACAGATTTCTCGAAAGAAATGAATAAATTGATGGAAAACTTACCAAGTGTGAAGAGTTCTACCGATGAATCGCAAAGCAAACCCTAGAAGAAATGAGAAAACGATCGAAGACGATGACTTTCGAAGACGATCGAAAACGGTTTGGTTTCGGTTTAGATTTTCTCAAACCAGCAGAAGAAGAAGAGGAAGAAGAAGAAAGGAGGAAAGGAGGAGAAAGGAAAGAAATGGGAGGAAGAAATAAGGAAGAGGGAGAACCTGTGTGTGCGGGCGCAGGCGCGGCTGCGGCGGCCGAAGGAAGAGAAGAACCTGTGTGTGCGGGCGCAGGCGCGGCTGCAACTGACGAAGGAAGAGAAGAACCTGTTTGCGAGGGCTGCTGCTGTATCCGCGGAGTGTGGACGTGATGGCTAAGTATTAATTAGACATTAGGATTAAATTATTAATATTTTATAATAATATTATTATATTTATAATTAAAATTTAAAATATAACAATAATAATATTAAAAAATAATAATACTATTAATATTTTTTAATTTATATTTTATATTTTATAATTTAAATTATTTTATTATCTATTATAATATTTTTATAATTTAATTATTTACTATATTTATTATTTTAATTATTTTTATATTGTAATAATTTAATTAATTAATTATATATATGATTTTAATAAATAAATAAAATTAATTATTAAAAATTTAAAATTTTAAAAATTAAATTAAAAATTTAAAAAAATAATAATTATTAAATTATTTATAAAATTAAAAAATTAATTTTTTTTTATTTGAACTTAATTTTTTGAAAATCTGCAATAGATTTAATCTATTGCTATTTCCATCGTAATTTTGTAACGGAATATTTTATTCGTTGCATAATTTTTGGGAAATCTGCAACAAATTTAATATTTTGCTATTTCCGTCGCAATTTTGCAACTGAATATTATATTCCTTGTATAATTTCAAAAATATTTGTGACAAATCTATTCTATTGCAGTATTCTCTCACAACATATCGCAATTGAGATTATTTCTTTGTTGCCTAGCAAGTTTCGTTGCAATTTTGCAATAGATTGTATTCCGTAGCAATATTCCATTGCAATTTTCAATTTTTTTTGTAGTGGGGCTCTACTACCCTTAACTTATTTCTGATAATTTGTTTCAAGCCCCCTAAATAATATCCTAAGGCTTGCGTTTCTGTCAATGGTTGAGCTTGAGTAGCAAGTTGAGTGAATAAATTGACATATTCATTAACCGAGCCTGTTTGTCTTAACGTTACCATCCTCTCATACGGATTCCCCATGAGTCGATCGTCAAACCTAGTGACCAATGCCTGTGAGAATTCGATTCAGGAGGCAGAAGCATGCTTCATCATATGCCAATGAGATCAATGCAGTGCCACATCTTCCATTGCGACTCGCGCAAGACTCATCTTAATCTCCTCGGGAACTCCGTGCAATACGAAGTGTTGTCAGCCCTAGCAACCCATCCCAAGGGGTCATGGCCATCAAAGTTAGGGAGTTGCGCATCCTTAAGCTTAAAATCAGTTGTCGGAGCAGTCATGTTCCTCCAACATCCTTAAACAAATGTGTTGCCCTGGTGATGTTGGCAGCCCTTGTCGACGAATCCGCTGCCTCTCCTCCTCCCGCCATAGCTCCCTGCGCCGCTGAGTCCTTAATAGGTGTGGCGGGCGGCCCATGTGGGAACAACCCAAGAATCGTATCGTGCATAGCTGCTGAAAGTTCTGTTTTCAGAGTATCCACTTGTCGATCCACCTTCGATTCGAGGCGCGACAATGCTTCTTGTTGTGCTTCCACGCCTGTTCGAAGTTCCTCCAGGGCTCCCTCCAAAGCTTCAATGCGTTGCGTATTTGTTAGCGTCATTCTCCTCCGTGGCTTCAAATCCGGCAGGTCGGACCAATTTGATACCATGAGAACTTAAGAGAACCAAAAGACTAAACTTTATTGATAACCAAGGAAGAACTACTCTTCCCGACCAAGCCGAAGCCGTGAAACTGAAGAAAAATCAGAATGCTAATAATGTCTAAAAATAATACTTAAATACTAGGGCAAAACGACTATGGGCCTAGGCCCGACCAACCTAACAATATATTCAAAATAATCAAATAATAAAATAAAGAACTAAGGTAATTAATAATGAAATGAGGCTTCAGGCCATTGCCACAATCAGCCCAAAATGCACTTGCTCTTTCCTCCCTCCTCGTGAATAAACTTTTGGCTGCCCCCACCGCATATCACATTAACCCACAATTCTTTCAAATATGATGGGTACATTGACCTTAATCAGATACATTCTCGATTGACTTCATGAATACCCAATACTTTGGCGTGATTTGATGATTTGACGGTTATGGATTGTTTGGTGGATCTCTAAGAGATCACAATATCACCACATGTAAATATATAACCAGTTTGTGATTTTTCTTTGTGCGGGTCCGACAAATATCCAACATCAGCAAGGCCTAATAGCTCATGTCGATAATTATTTGGATAAAATAGGCCGAGATCACTTGTCGCTTGGAGATAGCACAAAACATGCTTAACCTTATTCCGATGTTGTTTAGTTGGAGATGAACTAAATCTGACCAATAAATTTACTGCAAATACAATATATAGTCTTGTACTATTTGCTAGGTACATTAGTGCACTTATTGCACTGAGATATAGTACTTCACGACCAAATATCTCTTTGTCATATTCTGTTGGTCTTAATGGATCATTGTTAGGATCAAGTGACTTGATGATCATCGAAGTACTCAATGAATGTGCTTTATCTATATAAAATATCTTTAATACCTTCTGGGTATAAACAGTTTGGTGGATGAATATTCTATTATCCACGTATTCAGTTTGTACACCAAGACAGAACTTTGTCTTTCCAAAGTCTTTGATCTCAAATTTCCTTTTCAGATATTCCACAGCTGATTGGAGCTCTTCAGGAGTTCCAATAATATTGAGTTCATCAACATATACTGCAATGATCACGAATTTTGACCTATTTTTCTTTATTAAAACACATGGACATATTGGGTCATTAGTGTAACCTTCTTTGGTTAAACACTTGGTGTGGTGATTATGCCACATGCGTCCAGACGGTTTAAGTCCATACAAAGACTTTAGTACTTTGATAGAATAACATTCTTTGGAATTTTGATTTGCATGCTTCAAATATATCATATTTTTTAGGGATTTTCACATAAATAACATTCTAGTAAGCCAGACAATTAAGCAGTGACTATGTTCATCAGACGCATGTCAAATTTTTTGTGCACTACTAGGCTTACGAGGTATCTAAATGTGATACAATCCATAACTGAAAAATATGTTTCATCATAATTAATTCCAGGTTATTATGAGAATCCTTGAGCTACAAACTTCATTTTGAATTGGACAATTTCATTGTCTTCATTTTTTTCTCACAGGTACCCATTTGCACCCGATTGGCTTAATACCTTACGGTGTTCGAATTATAGGTCCAAAGATATTTCTTTTGGCCAATGAGTCTAATCCAGTCTGAATCGTATCTTTCTATTTTGGCCAATCATTTCCTTTTTGACATTCATCAACTGATGATGATTCGGGATCATCGGTATTTTCTATTATATCAAGTACCACGTTATATGAAAAAATATTATCAATTATTTTTTATTTTTTTTGGTTCTAACTTTTCTTTGTACTGGTGAAGTTAATTGAATTTTCAACAACTTTATTTTCTTCTGGGATAGGCTCTTCAGGAGCATTCTCTTCAAGGATTTTTTTATTGTTACTGCAAGTTGTTTGAGAGATTGTATCATTAATCAATATCATTTTCTTTTGGGGATTTTTATTCTTGGAACCTACATATCTGCCACGCTATAAGCGCGCAGAAGATTCATTGGCACTTTTCATTTGTTTTTCTGAGACATTTATTTTGTACATTTGCTGCAAGAATATATGACCTGGTGACTCTGCTAGAGTCATTAATTGCATCTAGTAACTTATTTGAAATTTTTTGCAAGTGTACTTCTAATTCACAATGTCATGAACAAGGATCCATGAAATTTATTGGTATTTTCTAGGAAATTTCATTTTTTAGTTGACTCTATTCTCCCTCTAATGTCGGGAAATTTGTTTTGTCAAACTGACAATCTGCGAAACGCATAGTAAATAGATCACCTGTCAGTGGTTTTAGGTATTTAATTATCGATAGTGATTCACGACATAAATTCTCAAATGGCGTTGGGGGACATATTTTTGTATGTTGAGATAGTGCAATCGGCACGTAAACTATGAATCCAAAAATCCTCGGGTGAGATATATTGGGCTCTTTCCATACACTAATTGTGTTGGGGAGTATTTTTGATTGCTTGTTGGTCTAATTTGCTCAAGTGTTGTTACATGTAATATTGCATGTCCCTAAGCAAAACCGGGGAGTTTGGATTTCATCAATAATGGTCTGAAGATTAATTGCAGCATTTTAATAAAAGATTTTGCCATACCATTTTGGGCGTGAACATTAGGAACATAATTTTCAACAGTTATTCCCAAATTCATCCAATAATCGTCAAATTTTTATGATGAATATTCATTAGCATTATCGAGACAATTTTTTTTCTTTGATAATCAAGAAATTGTGCTTGCAATTTAATTATTTGTGCAAGTAATTTTGCAAGCGCTAAATTATGTGTAGATAGCAATAATATGTGGGACCATCTCGTCAATGCATCAATAAGCACTATGAAATATTAAAATGGTCCACATATATCTGGATTCTTTCCATAAATTATGGGGATTCGATCCCAACTTTGGTTGATGGCAGTCTGATTATTAGTTTACTTTGTGAGCATGAAGCACACATGAATTAATTTGAATTCAAGATCTTTTTATCTTTTAATGAATGACCAATGGAGTTTTCGATTATTCGCCTCATTATGGTGTTTTCAGGATGCCCGAGGCGATTGTGCCAAATAAAAAATTCATTTGATTATATAGACTTCAAGTCTACCACATACATTTCAATGACACTTATTTTGGTATAATATAGGCCAGAGGACAATGAGCGCAATTTTTCAATTGCACTTATTTCCATTGATGATTTTTGTAATAATTATATATTCATTATTTGTTTTATTCATTGTTTCAATGTGATATTTGTTTTTACGAATATCAGTGAAACTCAACAAATACCTTTGAGCTTTGCTAGAAAATAGTGCATTTTGTATTTCAAGTCTGATTCTTTCAAAGAAATAGACAAGGTCTTCTGGAGCCTTCAAGTAATGCTGCACTGCCACATGGTGCTGATTTTTTCTTTTCCAAATTTCAGGTAGGAAAAATATTTTTTGTATTTTAATATCGTGTGCATAGTCACACTGTCAGTTAGAAAAATACTGTCA